AAAAAAAAAAAACATCTACCCGAAACACATCTGGTAAAAAATTCAAAAAAGAACAATTTAAGAGAACCGTTGATCGTCAAAACTATTATGCGCATTCAAAAGCCACAAAAACGCCAAAAACTTTTTTTTCCAACCACTGGAGGACGTAAAGAAACACCGCTAAGAAGAAAAGCAGCAAAATGACAGCAATCCAAGTGAATGACACTCCTTCCCTTCCCCCTCTTCCTTCTGTGACGCAGAAGCAAACACTGCCACACAAAAACACAAATGCTTTGACGACGACCATGTAAAATACACGCCAAACAAAGGCTCTGTGCACTGAGAAAACAGCAGAAAGGAGCAGGATGGCAACGGTGCATAATGATGTAATAAAAAATGGCGCGAAATGTGAGATTGAAAGACACTTGCAAATCTTCTTCTTGTTTCCGCAATCGCAAAAGCGAAGCTCTGCCGCTACCATCGCCATTGCCATCGCTGCAGTCGGTAATAGCAGCTGTTGCCGTCTCCAAAGCATCATTTGGTTTTGACCACAAAACGAAAACCACAGTTGACGACTGGTCATCGACCGGCGGTAGCACCGTCACATGGCAAAAACGACTCAGCTCTTCTACTTAAGATGTAACCGCCCGTACTTCAGCGCTTTATTCAAAATTTCATTTTGTAGCTTTGAGCTGTTGATATAGTTACGTAGAAGCGATAGCACAACGAGAGGAGCAAAATAACGACAAAAGCTAACAATATTAGAGGTAAGCAAGCAACCAATAAATATATGTAGTCAAAGATACACACATTTAGACACCAAACGCGACATTAATGAGTTCTAGCCACGTCTAACAATTTTAAGACGGATGGCAAAAAAGCAAACCTTCCTTTCCATTTAAATTTTTTTTATTTCCCCTCCACCTTCATTTCTTTTTATTTTTCTCTTTATTAAAAAAGAGAAAACGCAGAGTTCAAGGTTAATAAAAAACAGAAAAAAAAACTTTTTTTTATGCTACATAATAAGGGCGCACTTGGCACTTTCGTCTGTTCCCGTATGCAACAAACGATGGATAAAAAAAATTGGTCACTGCAATACTTAGTTAAATGTAGAAAAAATTTTATTTTCCAATTTTACTTCACGAAGAAGGATAATAAACTTGTGAGGAGCAGCAAGAAGAGAGGATAGTGAGGAAAACAACCAAAGAAAGGAAAAATAAATTAAAGGTCTTCTTTATTTTGTGCAAAACTCGTCTTCCTCTTCAACTTCAACTTTTTTTTTTTTTTTTCACATAATACAGCAACAGTCTTTCAATGTCCACAGCTTCCTATTTGGTAAAAGTGAAGAGATGGAAAGAAGTCTAACGCGCTCGTAGCGTCTACAAGTGGGATGGGAAAGATTCCAGTTGCATTGTTAATCTGAAATAACTGTTCGCCAAAAAACTTCTCCCCCCTCCAAAAGCACATCATTGTGTAAATCCTTTATCATTTTTGTCTTCCCTCCTTTCTTTCTCTTCTCTCCTCCGGCTTTGCCGAAAATGCCTGAAGTTCAGAAAGTTCTCAAACGGCAACTGGCATTTGCTTTAACTATTTATCAGCCTTATTACAGAATGATTATTAGAACTGTTTAAAAACATCATTATTAATTTCATGTAAACGACTGAGGACTACATCTTCAACTGTAGCATCAATGGATATTTCGGTATCGCAGTATTGAGTCACTAAACAGAAAGTATTAACTTTTGGTAACGGCACGGAAAGTATTGGGGAAACTACTTAAAAGAACTCTGTTTTCCTTTCTTAATTCTTTTCAAAAAAGCAAAGAAAAGGAATTTTTTTGCCACTTTTGTTTCACAGGAGCTATAAACGGATACAATTTTTTCAGATATTTAAAAGACCTCAGAAACATTGCAAACAACCTTCTCATAACTGCCGCCGAAACATCTACGACGACGGCTTCTTTCTCTTTCGATTTTTTTTTCTGCAGTCAGCGACCTTTCAAATAAACACTAAAAAATTTATGCATTTGGTTTAGTTCTTCCAACTAACTTTAAATTTTTTTTCCCACTTTTATAAACTTCTAGTTGTGGTCAAAGTTCTTCTCTTCTTCCTTCCTTTTCTTTTCCTCACCGCTTTCATGTAACAATAAATAAACACAGCTTTCATCAGAACAATCGTCTACCAGTCTTTGCAACAATATATCTGTTGAACTGCTAGTTTTAGCAACTATTTTATATGTTTGCACCTATATTCATTTTGTTGTTGCCTATCAATACTTTCCAGTACACACCTGAAGGTGTACCTAAGTTAACACTTTGGCTTCGTTAATCACTTTCCAAAGCCCTAGAACTTATATGGTAAATCGACAAAAATAACTGAACAATTTTTACTGCCGTTACCATCACCCACAACGCCACCGAGGGGCTGTAGATGGTGGGGAGGAGAAGGAAGGAATGGAATGAGATAATACTATTGATGATGATAAAGTTATGGCTCTACTGAAATCAAACCAAAAATCCTTATACTATACAGTATGGGGCGGAAATTG